TTTTTTTTTTTTTTTTTTAATACAAACTTGTTTTATAATTTATTCTTGTTTGAAATATTATTGAATTTATTAAATTATATTGAAAAATATAAATTATCCATTAAAATTTTGTTATAAGTCAATATTTAAAAAATATATAAAAAGGTGAGGAAAAATTGTCCATAGAGAATCCATAAATCTGTCCAATCTTGAACAGTAATTTTTTTATCTTTTTTTTTTTTTTTGTAAAAGTGAAGATTGAAGAACAAGCGATTAGTTAGTGCTTTCAAAACAAAAGGAACAGTGAGATAAATTTTGGCGGGAAGGAAAAATGGAGGTCGGCGGAGGAGGAGATGGAGGTTTTAGTCCTCGCGCCACCGTAGAAGACATACAGAGACGGCTGCTTCGACCGTCGTCGATTCACTCTCCACCTCCGACGCCGTCAATCTCGATATTCTCCTTACTGCTCCATTAATTTCACTAGTAATGTTTTTTAATCTCCTTGAGACCTGAACTTCTAGAATTTCTCGTGTTTATTTCCAGGTTTTCTCGCGGCAAAGATGTTCAAGGTCGAAATTCATCGCAGTTCGAGGCGAATGCCATGGGGCTTTATCGTAAACGAGAAGCAAAAGAAGGAGAAACTGCGAGCAGGAAGAGGAAACTCGAAGATTACTTGGATCCGGTTCTTCTCTCTGCGGTTTCTTCGAAGATCAGTCGTGCGCAGAAGGTTCCTAAGATGACGGTAAAGAGAGAGGTTAGGGATTTTGAGTGGCCCGTCGCTGAATTGAGGATGTTGATGGATGATTCGACGGTCGGAAAGGGGAAAACTAATACTGTTAATCTCGGTAATGACTCTGATTATCTCACAGAAAATGATGAAGAAGGAGATGTTAAAATCTCTACTCCGTTTCAAAAATTTGAGCAGACTGCGTTGGTACTGTTCGAATTATGAACTGAAATTGAAATATTAACTAACAAATGTAGGAATGTACAAAACTGGATAGAAATAAAGAAGATTGGAGGCTTGTTTCTGTTTATTTGCATTTTGTAGTCATACAAAGGGCCCTCTCTCCGTCTGAGATGAATTCTTCATCCCAATCTTGAAATCCCCTGGCCATTTAATAACGCACATAATTTTCCTTGCAAAATCTGGAAACGCATTTCTCTACCAGGGACTTCTATCAAAGCACAAAATCCGTGCTGGATTGTAATTATCGGCCGAGAGGACTGATTCGGAGGGATCCGCGGAGATTTGCGGTCAAGTAGAAGGATAGCATGCGACGGCACGCATCTCTGAGGCTACCTGTGGCCACGCCCTTTGAAGGTATCAGAAGGCGCAATACTGGTACCTTGCTTTCCCCTTCTGATGCTTCTGGATTGCCATTTTTAAAGGTTAATGTCATACATTACATGTCATTAACATTTTAGCGCTACTTTGATGAACCGATAACATTTTACTATGAGTATGGTCCTTTAAGAAAATGAACCAAACTTTGTCAAGTAAAATTGAACTGCGCCTTATTGTATGATCATTTTGTTAAGTAATTTTTTAGTTGTCCTAAAGTTATTTGTACTTCGAGAGTTCTGCATTGGCATATGAGAGAAAAGATATTCTCGCATGGAAAGATCATTCTTGTATGAGTGTTTAGCATGGTAGATTTCCCCGCTTCTTTTCAAGCCAGCATAAAAATTCCAGAGAGATCTGTTTTAACTTTCTGGCTGTTTATGACTAAAGTTTTGCTAGTGTTAGGTAAACTGAGCTGGTTAAGACTTATGATATAAGGTTTAATTAGTTGTATTACTGTTTTTTGATAGAACCTAGAAGTATATATAGCTTCTATCATCTTTGATCACTGATTGAATAATACTATTGCTCTTTGTGATCATTCTCTGTGAGAATTTGTGAAGTAGAACGGGGATTGCATACCAAAGCATAAAATTTTATTTGCTTTTCAAATTATTAGAATAGAAAAGGAGATACTAATTCTGGGACTTAGATGCATTTATCCTAAAAAATTTAAGCTTTTAAGAGGGTAACAACATTCATATGGGTAGTGAGTTATGGTTGGAGTAGTACAACAGTTAGTAATTTTAGGATTAGCTAGTCTGATGGTTATGATTTTTTTGCACCTTTTTAGTTCTGGAGAGACCTGATTAACTTGGGAGCCATAAATATGATCAGTCTTTAGAGCTGTATAAACAGTTAATTCAAATTACTTGACGAACATAACTTAGTCGCGTTTCGATTGGTAAAAAACTCTGCATGACAAACGTGGAGCCAAATTAGATTAAAAAAAAAAAAATGTAGTTATTTTTTAATTCGCTTGATGAGAAGCCTGCGGGAGGGACCCACTTTGCTTTGTGGTGGATTTGGTAAGTTATTTTTTTAAAAAAAATGTAGTTACGTCAGGTGTCAAGTTTGGTTTATGTAGCATTGTCTGATGGAATCTTTCCAAGAAGTCAGTTCTATTTGTATAAAATCTAAGTGGCAGCATCAGTGGTGATTTGCCAATCAATGTTTTAAAAGGGTTTTGAAGCTTACATCTTAAAGCTCCCCTCTAAATAAACTCTAGATAAAACTCTAACATTAATATTTAGTATTGAGATGTATTTGTTAGGACCACACAACAATACACGATAAACGTAAGGAACAGAAAGAAAATGCCAAGAGTAATATTAGGTTAAAGTTTATATTGATGAGTTTAAGTATATACAAGGTATATATATGATTCGGTTTATTATTAGGTATAATCATTTACTATATATAATTATGTATCACATGTAGTTTTACTCGATATAGATCTTTACTATACATAATTACTTACTATATATATATATATGACTATTGATTTGATATACTAGTTTCCCATACTGCAGGGCTTAAACCGAACAAGAAAGTGAAAGATAAAGGGTAGGAACCATTTATAAAAGACGTGAAAAGGAAAAGGCAAAAGAATTATTCTTTTGATTTGCTCAATCTCTGACCGCTAGTAGTGTATGAGGTGTTAATTTGAGGTCCTTATCATAGGTTATCCGATATTTGTTTGATGTTTACTATTCCTTTGATTCTCTATGCTTCTGATCATGTCTGCTGCTTGCAGGCTGCAGGGTGCCACACCACAGATGGATGCTACTGACCTTTTCTTTACTCGGCCACCACGACGGACGAGGAGAGATGCCTGCCCATTGCTGATGGTTGTACTCTGTCCCTGCTATTGGAGAATCATTGGGATACGAGATTTGCTTTGGACTCTCCATCTACTGTAAAACTTCCCTTTTTGTCGACATTTGGAGTTGCATTTACATGGACATGGAGCATGGAATAGACTTCCAAAAAGAAAAAGGTCCCCTCCATTTTCACTGTTTATTATAAAAAAAATTAATTTGTGGGCGTTAATATTCATTGATTTTAAGGATAAAAACGTCATTTCAGTTTCTTTAGTTTTTTTTTAGGGCGATTCTATCGATTTCCTTTTGTTATTTTTTTTCTGTTCTTTTCTATCTGCTTTTTTTCTCTCAGCATCGAATCTGAACTTGGTTTTTATTCCAAACATTATCTTCTTCTTGTTAAATTTATCTCAATTCTACCATTTTCTTCCAGTTCATCTTCATATGAATTGACTGAATATGGGTAATTGGATATCTCACTGTTCTCTATGAAAGCAGGGAATAGACGTTGCCCTGGCCTTCTGTCGAGTTTGTGGGCCTCTGATGTCACTGCAGTACGAAAGTAGTCTCATTGTGGTCTTTTCTATCATCCCTTTTGCCCTGCCAATCAGAAAATGCTCGAAACAAATGGCAACCCCTCTCTCTTACTGTCTGTTCTCTAATGATTTGAATTCAATGGTTTTCTTCTTAACATTTTCCTCGCCTGCAGCCACCGCCTTTGGCGTCTCCTAGTATATCAAATCATCCACCTCGGTCTCAGCCAGCGCTTAGGAGGTCCAGCGTATTGATGGCTCAACAGGTCTCTCTCTCTCTCTGTCTCAGAGTTTCTTTACTTTGTATACTTCTGAATAATGAGCGGAATTTTTTTAAGTTTGAATTGATTTCTAAACCAGGACGACGGGTGGCCTTTGGGATTAAGACTGCTAAATGCTAGAGTTGGATTGCTGGAAAACCGGGACTTTTCCGGATCAATCTCCTTCAACACTTTGCCCACTGGATCTCCGATCTCCTTCACTGACTCTTCAGATCTTGATTCTCAGGTATGTTCGTCTTGTTTTTTTCGTAGTAATTACGAATCTTCATAATAGTATAATAGTATCGGCTTCCACAAAAGGCAGGATCATCCCCGAAATTTGGGAAGAGTACTCCCTCCTAACAATTTTCCAACCCTTTTCTTGCACTTTTTGTGTTATAAATGGTCACAATTTTTCTTTAACTTCTCCCGCTTTGTTTCTGATTGATTGCAGTCAAGTGGTTCGTTCTTCCATGCTAAAAGCATCAGTGGAGCTAGTCTAATCAGCGGTTCTGGCATCGTTGAGCTCTCTAGTAGATCATCAAGAGTGGGAAGCACAGAAACCAGCCTAGGAGGATACAGAAAGAACGACTTCAAGTCCAAGCCATGGTTGTTTTCTCTTTGCTGTAAACTAAGCACCGACGCTGTGAGCGTCACCAGAACTCACTCGCTGGCTCACTTTCTGGAAGCGGAAAGGAGGAGAACCGCCGCTAATTGCCGGAGGGACCAGCTGAGAGCAATGATGCAAGGGCGGCCACGTCCCAATAATTTGTTGGCCAGCTGAAACACTGTTTTTCATTTTGAAATCTCTCTTTAAGTCAGGTACTTGGGACCCTTCATTTTCTAGTTTGGTTATTTTGGTTTCATCTCTCTTTTTGTGCATATTCGAATGGAGAGTTAATCTAAATGTAGGCCAAACGAGGTAAGTGTTTGGTACTATTTTCTTTAGAATGGTACATTCAAAATTTCTTACACTCCCAAAAAGTTTACTAAAAAAATTAATGTGAATATAGACGGTTTAAATTAGGAGTAGGGGAGGGATTGAGAGAACTCTCTAAAAAGAAAAGTTATTATGTCCTGTTTTAAAGAGAAGGATAATAAATTTTCTAGTTTTCAAAACTTTAGGTTGATTTTGATTTTAATCATAGGTAAAATGTAGATATTTTTATGAAAAAAAAAATTAAATAATTGTCAACTGTGGATACGCAATGAATGGATTCAACTCGCTAGAAATTTTTAAATATTAGATCTTCCATTATTTAATTGGATGATTGAAGAAATCTAATGTTTGAGTCCATTATAAATAATATCAACCGTTAGTAATTTTTTTTATTAAGTTTGATTTCGATTGATCTCTTCATCAACAAGTTAAAAAGACTAAATTTGTGATGTTTTAAGTTTAAATGATTGTTTAAATATTTAATTTTTAATCGTTATTTATTATTTATATACCATATCTGGTGATACGATATTAAATTTTTGTCTAGATGTCAACATTTGTATTAACATTTATAGATTTGACCTTGACGTAAAAAATGAATCTATATTTTCATTATATAAACAAATTTTAAAAACAATATATGTACTTTTAAAAAAAGATGAAATAAATTTATATTTCATATGAAAAAAAAAAGGTTGTGACCTCTTTTTAGTATAAATATTAAATTTTTGGAGTAGAACGGAATGGTTTCTTTTTCCTGCTTGTTTCAGAAAGTTGACCCATAGCGGTCAACGTTTGCAGTCTACACTATTGGAAGAGCTAATCCGACAAGGATAACGTTTGCACGACTTTGGAATATAATTATTTGGCCGATTTAAATAAAAATACTCATTGATATTCAAATTTAGATATTTTTTTAAATTATAGGTTAAAAATATTAATAAAAATATAATGTTTTTCATCCAAATTTGAATGATGATAGAGATGTTTTTATAACAATTTTTATTTTTTTTTTTGGTACTTTAAAATTTAGTGTGATTTCTTACCCAATCCATTAATAGATTAATTAAAGATCCAATATATTTATAAATTAAAAAAAAGTCTAAATCATTAAATAATAAAAACTAACCTTTAGTTTTGATAGATTTTTTTAAAAAAATAGAAATTAAATTATTGCATACGAAATTTAAAAGACTAATTATTGTTTTTTTTTTTTTTTTCTACCACATGCTTGTAAATTACATTTATTATCCCTTTGAAAAATATTTAAAAAAAATTATAATAATAATTAGTGTGTTGATGTTGTCATTAATAAAAATTGGTTTCATTATTAATGACCTCCTATATTTATAATTATGATTTACTTTTTGAGGTTAGTTTCCTAAATAACATAATTAGAACGATAATTATTAACATGTATTTTTAAAATCTCAAACTTCAAATAAACATATTAATTATTAAAAAATGTTATTTTTTATTTAAAAAGTATTAAAAAATTATCATCTGACTCGTTCACTTCTACGACATGACATGTCAACAACATTTTTATTATTATTATTATTCATAGAATGTGACATAACAACTAAAAATATTTAAACAAAATTCAAATTTTAAAAGTCAAAAGGGCACTTAGTTGAATTCTTAAGAATTTAGGGACTAAAATGAAAAGTGGAAGAAAGATTTTTGAGGGACCTAAAATAAATATCTTGGTAAAGGAAACAGCTAATTATTGACCAATTTATGAAGCTTTGTTACAACTCAAAAACATAACAAAGTACTCACCAAGCATACCTGACTCAGTAACGACATACTCGACCACCTTATACTTACTTAAGACGATCGAATCGTATGAACCACGCTTGTCGCCGTGCTTCTTAGACGTTCAAGTAGATTTTATACGTGTAGTGAACATAACCATTGGTATTCTACCATATCCAAGACTTTGTTACATCGACCGTCGAAGAAGATTCCGATCGGAAGATGCTACCTTAGAAACTCTTATCGACGTCCTCGCCACATTCAACCGAAAATCGTCCTGTACTGTGGCTACCAATCTTCCCAAATGAACCTAAGGCTGATAAGCTCTTGAAGCTACTGCTACCCTCACTGAAATTCGACTTCCTCGACCGCCTTGGTTTCGATGAACTAACTTCAGATTCTTGATTATCAGCCACCTTGGTCTTTGCCACGAGTAGTTGAGTAATGCTGCTTCGACAAAACGGGCAAAGCGGGGCGGTAAGACACGTGCTCGAGGTGTTTTGCTTCTTGTAGCAGCATAAGGCTAGAGTGCAATGGGCACACATTTGATGACCACATGGATGGACCTCTAAAGTACAGGCCTGTTCGAAGCATATGCAGCATAACTCGACGTCGCACCCCTGTTTGAAAGTTTCGATGAGCAAATAAGAATTAGAATATGTTGAGTTTGAGGAAACTATATCAGTATGTTTCACTCGATGAAAGTCATATGAAATCCCACATCGGTTGGGGAGGAGAACGAAACATTTTTTATAAGAGTGTGGAAACATCTCCCTGGCTTACGCATTTTAAAAACCTTCGCGGGAAAGACCAAAGAGGACAATATCTGTTAGTGGTGGGCTTGGATTGTTACAAATGGTATCAGAGCCAGACATCGGGCGATGTGTCAGCGAGGAGACTAAGCCTCTTAGGGGGGTGTACACGAGGCGGTATGCCAGTAAGAACACTGGGTCTGAAGAGTAGTAGATTAGGGGGTCCCACACCGATTGGAGAAGGGAACGAGTGCTAGCAAGGACACTAGCCCTGAATGAGGTGGATCGTGAGATCCCATATCGGATGGGGAGGAGAACGAAACATTGTTTATAAGGGTGTGAAAACATCTCCCTAACAGACACGTTTTAAAAACCATGAGAGGAAACCCGAAAGGGAAATTCCAAAGAAGACAATATCTTCTAGCGGTGGGATCTTAAATAATATTACCTCAAAAGCATGAAAGTTCGAGCGGAAAAACTGTTATTACCTCAGATTCTGCATCATCCAACTCAACATCGGATTGTAACGGAGACGGAGATGAGTAGGAACTCTCCTTCAATATGGCCTTCTCCCTCTCCATGTTTGCTTCCACTAAGGCCCTCTCTAGCATAGCTTTTGCCTCTTCATTTAGCTCATTGATGAATTTCAATTTTGATGGCCAAACAAGAGGCTCTGCTGCTGAAGGATTCAGCAAAGCTGCACACGCTCGATTCTTCCGTTTTATAGCGATCGAGTAAGGTATTCTCCTACAAACATGTATTAACAAGTTCGAGCAATTAAGATCGAGTATTCATAATCATATTTGATCCACAAGTTCATGATTCATATAACATGCTAGAGCTTACCCAGCTGAATCCACTTGTAATCTTTCAGCTCCCCATGCAAGCAATTCTCGAACGCATTCTAACGAACCACTTCGAGCAGCTAGATGAAGAGGCGAACTCCCAGGATAGCTGCAAATTGTAATGAAAGATCAGCTCATCAGCTCATACAAACACAATCAATATCACAATCAGCTTAATATCTACCCATAAGCACAAGTTGAAGCACAAACAAGAGCCCCATTCGCCAAAAGTATCCGAATGCACTGTGGCTGTTGTTGTCGTGCAGCTATATGCAACGGAGTAGCACCTCCTCCGTCTCGAATATTCACATATCTAATAAACCCCCTGTCGACGACATCCAATTCAATGTAAATAACGCATCAAAACACGAAAAATCAATATCTATGGGGATAAGAACTAACCAAGTAGCTGCAACAGGAGCTGAATGAGCAGCAGAAATAATAGCTTCTAAGCAATCAGAGTGGCCAAAATAAGCAGCATAATGCAGGCAGGTTCGTCGATTTAGAGTATCAAACATCAAAATCTATTGATATCATATGAATAAACACATTGTTATGTAATTGAAACAAGCATACGCCAAGAACATTCAATAAATCATACAAATTAGGACACAAACATTTGCTCCTGCTTCAATCAATCTCTGCACACAAGATATCTTCCCGTTCATCGTAGCCAGCATTAATGGTGTCTAAGTTCATCAAATCCAAATCAAATTAAACCAAAACATGAGATTCAAAGTGCAAACAAAATGGATTAAATGTTCTTAGCGATTAGATGAAATCATTACCTGTTTATTGCGATTCAACACATCAGGATTCACAGACCGATCCAAGAGCATATTAAGAATCTGATAACAAATGCCCAAATAATCATTCACAAATCAAGAAAAGAAAGAACAAAATAGAAGGAATCAAGACCCACCTCGATCTGACCATAAGCAGCGGCGATGTGAAGAACAGACATTTTAGTACGAGGAGTGGTGAGTTCCATCATAGTTGGATCAGCCTCCAGCATAGCCAGAACGAGCTCCGAATCCCCATTTTGCACAGCTCGGAATAGCCCATTTTCATGGTGTTCGCCGCAGCTCAGCCCTTGACCCATCAGCTCTCCAGGTGGGTTACGCCGTCAGTTCATGTAGAAGTACCCAGCAACTGATTCACGCGCCACCGCCTGCGGAGGCTGACCAGAGTTAATGTGAAAGGGGAATTTCTTGTGGAGAAAATCGTGGAGGAGTTGGCCTTCTTCGGCTGCTTGACCTTATTGCGTGAAATTTATGACCATTGGTGTCGGAATCTGACCCATTCCCCAACGAATCCGACTGCCGTGTATTTTTGTAATTTAATTAACAAAAAAAAAAAAGAGAGACAAAATTAAAGTCAATTAATTATTAATTTAATCTCAATTTGTTTTTGTTTTTTCTCTTTCTTTGTCTAAAGTTCCATAAGAATTAGGCTGGTTGGTGAAGTTAAGCTTTTACGGTAAGGATTATATATATATATATAAATTTATAAAATAATTGAAATATTTTGATTTTCAAACTAGAGATATTTCTATTTCAATCGGGAAGAGCTAACACACTATCTCACACTCTTATATAGTCAAGTAGTTGGTCGATCATTCCACATCACCAAACATGTCGGTCTTGACATTGCATGATATGTTAATCTTATCAATCAAGAGAGTTAGTCGCCGTCATGCTTACTTTAATGAACAATTTCTATTATCTATTTCAATCGGGATGAGCTAACACACTGACTCACACTCTTATGTAGTCAAGTAGTAGCTGACCATTCCACATCACTAAATGTCAGTTTCACTCGAGTCTCTTTTTTCCACGTTATCGGAGAGGAGAATAGAATATCTATATCAAGAAATGGAAGAGAAAGCATATCAAGTCCAATGTTGGGATTTCAGGCTTATATGTAGGACCTTGACTACTACGATCGGGATCTTGAGTCCTTTCCTCTCCTTGACTTGTATTAGTAGAGCGTTCTTCATCTAAAGGCTCTGAATATCATCTCGACACTGCATGATATGTTAGCCTTGTCAACCAAGAGAGAGTTAGCTTAAGATCTAGGTTACAACAAAATATAGTATTAAGTGGCGCTTCTAGAATGTTAAGTTGCAGTAAACAAATGCTTTTCAGAACATCACGTAACTAACCATGGATAAAAGGTTGGTTAAAACTTAACTAGAGGTGAATATTGTGTTATACTTTACTTTATACTTACTACATGCACTCAATATTTCACAAAACTTTAAACAATATAAGACCAAATATCACTTTATATCGACTTTTAATATTTTGTTATATACGTTCCATCAAACCCATAAATTTGTATCTTTAAAATTACAAAAGTATTCTCGATTATATGAATATATAAATTAGAATAATACCAAATTTAATTTAATCCCTTTTATTATATGGATCGAAATTTAAGAGTAAATTGATACAAAACGCTATTATCGATAATTTAATAATAAACTTTTAATTAGTAAAATAAAAAAAGAATAATACACTTTTGGTGGTTACAAGTAAATATTTGTCAAGTGGAATAGAATGGCAAAGTTGACTCAAAAGTGGGAAAACACTTCAATACTTGAGCTTTGAATCCTTAAGGATAAAAGGATTTACAAATATAAACAAGAAAAGAATAACAAGCTTTTACTTTAATATCTTGCTTTTAAATTACGAAAACGAGCTAAATTCGTTGATTGAGCTTTTTTGAATCTTGCCTTATCGAGATCTTGGTTGAATATCATACTCAATCGAAGAATGTGTATCAATTAGCGTTGAATTAGGTCCTCTGCTAAGTATTTGAATGGTAAAATCAACATTGTCGTCGTATTACTCGACCTAATTATGCATGAAATAAAAAATAAATTCGATAACCCACCCCTGATGAAATGACCAAACAACAAGAAATGTTTGGCAGAGGATTGCTACAAATCTACTCCATTTTCTAACTTTCTGTTCTCTTTTGGGAGAAGTATCCAATTTTATTTCATCATTACACTAACCAACTTTGATAAATATATTGAATTCAATTCATATTTTTTATGATAAAAAATTATAAAAATTCCTAACAAGTAGAGATTTCTTCGCCACCTATTTCATTCTAAAAAAATTTGGTTTAATTTTGTGAGAATGATAGACCCTTCATTTTTCAATATAATCTTTATTAAAAAAATGATAATATATTTTATAAACAAATGTATAATATAAATTAAAATTTTAATATTATAATCTTTTTTTTTTTTTTTTTACACAAAAATAAATTCAATCAAAATTGAAAATTGTTAACCTAATCTATCTTTTACAGTTTGGGAGCCCAGCCCAAATCTCTTTAGGGACAGCCCAAGCCCAAAATGAACTGCTCTCCATTCTCCCAGCGTTAGCAGAGCTCCGCGGTTCCCAAACTGCACCTCTCTCTTGAAACTTGAAAGCGCCATTGCCAGAACCTTGCACCTTTTCTCTCCGCCTCTCTCACGAAACCGCTCGTTTATTGACGCGTTAAGACCTCCTTATATCTACTCTGCTGAAACGAGCCCAATTGGTCTTGTGGATCACTCCGATTTCAAGACTTAAGAGGTTCGCTTCATCTTTATCTCATCAGAATCTGGTGATTAACGGAGTTCTTTCGGCAACTGATTCTGTGGATTGTAACTTATAGTTCCTCACTTTCTGGGTCAGCGGCTTCCTTCAACTTTTAATGAGCCCCCGTTTTATCTGATCAGAATCTGATTAAGCACGGTGTTATTTCGATAGCTGATTCTGAGATTTGTTTCTCATACTGCCTCATTTTCTACTGAATTGGACTGTTAAATAAACATTCTAGTATTATGGGAGATTTCTCGGTTTCTTATATGGTTTACTTCTTTTCTCATGCGGGGTTTTGGGGTTTAATTAGTTTCAGGAAACGTTTAATTTATGAGGGTTTTAAAATTTTAGCTCTAGAATGAGCTTAAGTGAAATTTAGAGATGTTTTGAGGCATTGATAGTTTTATGGTTGAAGTATTGTGTCAATGCCCTTGTTTAACCTTTTTTTTTCAAATGATTCGTTTCAGTGTTTGCTTCTTTGTATTTAGGGCCTTCAAGTCTTCGTACATTTGAAACCTTGCATTTGTTGGTGAAGTAACAGGAGAGCAATCATGGATGGTAAGTTGACAATTGTATTCTTATCAGTAATTAATGACTGTTCTCTTTGGTAAAGAGTTTGCTAGAGCAACTTCATTTTCTGCTTCTGTTTTCTGAACTTTTGTTTCTGTGAGTGTCTGTGCTGGGATAGTGCTGAGTTCTCATTCTTTTCTACTCCCATAATTCAGTGGCCTATTCACTGTTGTAAATGGAATAAAAAGGTTGTATGTAACAACCTAAGTTCACCGCTAGCCGATATTGTTCTCTTTGGGCTTTCCCTTTCGGGCTTCCCCTCAAAGTTTTAAAACGCGTCCACTAGAGAGAGTTTTCTACACCCTTATAAGAAATGTTTCATTCTCCTCTCTAACCGATGTGGGATATCATAATCCACCCCCCTTGGTGGCCCAACGCCCTCGCTGGTTCACCGCCGGTGTCTAACTTTGATACCATTTGTAACAGCCCAAGCTCACCGCTAGTAAATATTGTCCTCTTTGAGTTTTCCCTCAAAGTTTTAAAACGCGTCTACTAGGGAGAGATTTCCACACCCTTCTAAGGAATGTTTCGTTCCCCCTCCAACAGATGTGGGATCTCACATACTATCTTTCTAAAAATAATAAGGAACACATGTGTTGTTGGTTTCAATGTGTTTATTATCCTAAAGAATGTTTCCTTATTTGTGTTTCACAGTAACAATCCCATTTGAGAAAGGTTGATTCTGTATGTTGTCCAAGTTTTCTTTTTCCTCCTTCGCCACTGTCAGCCTTGTTCCGATCGGAATCCAGTCACATACAAAAGAAAACCACCAGCAATGGCAGCAGCATGATCAAAACTACTAGCTACGTTAAAATTTAAATTTGGAGACCCTTTGTTTGCCTTTAAAGTTTTCATTTTCGATCAAACAATTGCAGCCAAGTGATTCAATTTCATGAGCTGCTTTGGGACAATAACTTTTTTGGATTTTTAGACTTCTCTTTCAAGTTTTTTAGTTTTCTTAATTTTCCTATGCACGTCTAATTAAATATCCAATCCTCTGTTGTTACTTGCAAAAGTATAAATAGAAGTCAAAAGATTGTTTAACTTGGTAATTGAATTTGTTTGAGCTGAAACAGACTATAGTTGACTAATCTTCACCATTTTGGCTACAGTCGACTCGCAACCAACCATGGAAGAAACCATCTTGGTTGGTGATGATTTAATGATGGGGCCACCATCACCTATCATTCCCCCTGAAATTGCATCTCATGTGCTGGAAGGTGTTGATTTATGTGATGGTATATTGAGGAATCTCTTTTTATGTAAGTTTTCTTCTTTATTAGTAGTTGTCATTATCTTTTATTAGCTCTTCTTATAGAATTTAAGCTTGCTTTCCAATTTTTCTTTATAGGCTTGCAAATCAATGATATCGAACCTTTTTGTCAAGATGAAATAGCTGTTTATCGACAGTGTGCCGAAAAACGGGTAACACTAAAACTTATTGAAATTCAGATTTGAGATGCCAGTCTTTTCTTATTTCTAGAATTGTTCTGTTGAGGGCTGCTGGGTGCTGGGAATCCATTAAATTGAATAAACAGCTAGAAGTCGGTTCTTATTTCTAAAATTGTGGAAAAACTTTCCATAATCCCTTTGATATTCTTTTGGGTTTATTCCTCATCTCCCATTATATTTTGTTCCCTTGCTTCTTTAACGACACCTTCCTAATTATTTGGCTGCATAAATAAATTGTAGGATAGAGAACTAAGACAACGGCTTCAAGATAGCGAAAGAAAATTAGGGTCATCAATGCCTCTAGATGCAGCAAAGGAAAGGGCTACGCAACTCGAATCAGAAGTAACGTCATTGGAGAGGTATGCTAGCACTCTCCAGCAATTACAGTTACCGACCATTATTGTCAGATTCTGAATCTTGTGGTAGATTTTATTTCCTCTTGTTGAATTTATACATTAGTTTCGTCAAACTGGTTGATCTTCAGTCCAAAATAGTTCCCTCTGTGTTTCTTAAAGATTACGAGGTTGATTATATATATCAAGAAATTTTTTCAAGGATACCTCGCTACATATCTTTCGCTACATATCTTTCGGGTCACTATCTCAAGAACAAAGTCGATAATTTTTATGTGTTAACATGGCTATGGATATAGATTGGATGTGGTGATTAGAAACGAACCCTCTTACTTTTGAAGATTGGCCCTTGATTGGGATGAGAAATTGAGGATCTTGTTTGGTTCTTGGATGCTAGATGGGTTTAGTTATCAATTCTCTTGCAATTACTCATCTTTCTTGATTCAAGTATTGAAGAGGATTTTTTTAAACTGTCTACAGAAAGTTTTACAAGGAGAATACCTTGTCCTTCCTCCTTTTTACCTTACTGTTTTGTGAGTTAATAGAATGGTTCTAGTCGAGTTCACGTTTCCCTTCTGGGACTCGATTGCAATAATATTCTGTTTCACGTCCCTAACTTTCGCTCATATATCCTTTTGATCTGCAGACGCTTGATTCTTGCTAGTGGGGTTGAGGGCATCGAAGGATTCCGTCAAAGATGGAGTTTACACGGTCGACTCACGGACACCAAGTAATCTTGATCTTCTGTTTCATCACTCAGTATCACTCAGTGTCGACATTAACGGTTGTCTTACATCCATTTTAATTAATGCAGGAAAAGGGTGGAATCTTTAAAGCAAGGAATTGAGAACAGGAGAGACGATAAGCCAGCAGCGGAGAAAACGTCGACTTCCAAAAGATGGTTCTTTTAATGTTAGTGCTTGATTCAGATACCAGGCTTCTTCCTATTTGGTTCTTAAAGGCTCAATGAACGATGATTCTTCTGAGAATACAAACAAGGGGTTGAGTTTTAGGCTCTAATTAGTCTGATACGGCGTCGTTTTACAATTTTCTTGGCAAAAAAAGAAGCTATTGGCTATGAAGATACTGTGTTTAATTATGTAATCATGGGCAGACTCTGAAAATTAGCTTCTTTTAACTGCATATATATATATAGTTAAAGGAAATTCTAGTTAATCTTTAGCCTTCGAAAGCTAAGGGTTAAAGTAGATTTCAATTTTACTGATATATCAATAAAATAAAAAAATATATATTTGAATTAATGATTTTTAGTTTCAAAATGAGTTATAAATTTAGATATTGGTATTATGCTTTTTATTGAGATTAATACATAATAAAATTTATTATACTTTATAGATATTTATAAGAGATCGAGAAATACTGATTAATTCTGCTGATTTATGATTTTATCCACGTGTTGAAACCGATATGGCACGAAAGCGCGTGCCGTGTGTGATCAAATCAGTGGAATGGAGAGTGGGGTTAAAAGATAGTTTTGTCTTTTCTTTTCGTGATGCGTGTAATGCACAACCCACTATGGCGCGTCGATATCACTGAAAAGTTTCCGACATTCTCTTCCCACAAATTCCTTCTTTTTGACCTTCTTACGTGTCGCATTCTTATTGGTTTTAGTTACATTCTTTTCCAAACTTATTCACATTATTTTTTATTTAAAGCCAAATTATATATATAAAAAAGAAAAACCCTTAAAAACTATTATTTATTTCAAAAATCTCTTTTAAAAAAATTACTTAGTAAAAATTAAATGAAAAATCTGCTTACGGATGGTTTCTAATAACTTTTTTATTCTATAAAAAATGTGTAAAAAACTTTTGAAAAATATGAATATATTTTAAATGGATAGAAAAATTCAAAATTATTTTTCACAATTTCATTCATTCTCATATTAAATTTAGTTTTCTAAATTATATTTTATTCGATTAAATTATATTTTAAAAAACTTTAATTTAGGCCTTTAAAATCACCTGAAATCATTTTAATTCAGAGGGCTAAATGATTTGTTTTTATTAATTTTTATATGATTTGTTTACGTTAATTTTGGGTTACATTAAGTTTAAAATAAAAAAAAAAAAAAGCACTGAAGCCAAGAAAATAAACTTCAGGTGTGGCTTTTGCTTTTGGTGTTACCCAACCTGACAAACGCTAAGCTTTTGAGTTACCCTTTCATTAATTACTTTTTAAATTTATGTCCTTTTTTTTTCTTTCTTTTTTCGCTTCTCAAACCTTATAATCACATTCATCATTTATAAAATCAATATTTAATGTCAATCATTTTCAAAAGCCAAATTTTATGACCAATTTTTGTTTTTTTTTTCCATTTTAATTTTTAATGCAAATAATTTCAATTATATTAAATTACCCATTTAACCACGAATCGAGGTTGGAGCTAGAATCCAGTGTGGAACCACTTCTAATAGGATTGAAAATTTTCATTTAGACCAAAAAACCAAAGAGGGAGAAAAAAAAAATGTAGTTAAAAGGAGTTTGTATGTATTGAAAGGTATAAAACTACAGTATTATATATTTATTTACTTAATAAATAAATTAAGTGTTAGTATATAAATTTTAATTTTTAGAAATGATGTTAAAAATAATGTTATATTATAATATTATTAAATTTATTAGAATGTTTTATGTTTTTTAAATAGAAATTATTTATTAAAATGTTTTTTTTCTTTAATGTAAATAAAAAATTGAATATTTTATTTTTCCTTATTAAAAATTTTAGACAACACTCATCACATATAAAAACTACTAAAAAGAGTTATTCAACATGAAACCCTAATTTGCTTACAAAAATAAAATATAAACTTAAAGAAAGAAAAAAAAAAAACATAAAAGTCTCTCATATTTAAGAATGGGAAGAAGATGAAGGATTAAAAGCAGTCCAACAATGTCGATCACTTCCTGCAACAACTCCCCAAAATGGCTTCCCCACGTTGTTGTTGTTGTTAACCTTTTGTTGCCCGACCACGTTATAGCTCGACGATGCCTCGATGACATTATTTCCGAGCAACCGAGCTGGTTGCAATTGGTGAAGCTGAAGCTGTTGTGGCCGCCATTGATGTTGATCCAACCCTAAAAAGTTGGCCATCCCAATGGGATAACTTGAACCCTTGCCTCCTTCGATTTGTGTACTAATCGCGTTGTAATTTAATCTCATTGCTTCTCCTGCTCAAAATTATGTTAGTTCGATCTAAAAAGAGTTTTCAAATATTTCATAGTTTAACTAGTTAAAACGTTGTAACGAGTATCAAATTCTCAAATCTCGATTGATTATCCTCGACAATTAAAGACGGTATATTCAAGTTTTTAATAATTGTCGAGAACCCGATTCCTAGAATAATAAATAGATAATTTTGTGGGGCTGAAAAATGAAATAGGAGGTGGCGACAAGGGAAGAAAGGCTTTTTCATCTCTATCTTGCCCCGTGGACATTTCTAAGTGTAACGACCCTAATTTTTCTACTTAACCTAAAACCGGCATTGTACACATATCATGATCCTACATAATTTCAAATAAGCCTACATCGATAAAATTAGAGATCCCACATCGATTGGGGAGGAGAACGACATTTTCCTAATAGACGCATTTTAAAGCCTTGAGGGAAAGACAATATTTGCTAGTGGTGGGCTTGAGTCATTACAGTTTCAAACTTTCCCTCAATGTTTTTAAAACACGTATGCTAGAGAGAGGTTTTCACACCCTTAGAAGGAATGTTTCGTTCTCCTCCCTAATCGATGCGGGATCTCTAATTTTATCGATTTAGGCTTAGTTGAAATTATGTAGGTTCATGATATGTGTACAGTACCGATCTTAGGTTACATAGAAAATTTAGGGTCATTATACCTAGAGATGTCCACAGGGCAAGATAGAGACGAAAAAACCTTCCCGTCCTTGTCCCCACCTCCTATTTCATTTTTTCATCCCCACAAAATTATCTATTTATTTTTATAGAAATCGAGTTCCCGACCAAAAATTCACACTAAACATATATTCTTTTCAATTTTTTTAACGGATAATTTTATTTTTCCTAAAATAAATATAAAATATCTTAATAAATTGAGCTAAACTAAATTTCATAATATACTTATTAGGTTAAAAAAATTAATGTTCATAAGATTCTAAAAAGTTGGTCTAAAAAGTGAAAAACATCCTAAAATTAAAAAAAAAAAAAATCAAAATAGTGATTTAAAAGGATTAAACTTTTTTAAATGTAAGCAATAATTTAACACGTCATCAGTTGATATGATTACCAGCTGCAGCAGTAGTAGAGGATTGGCTTGGGGAGTTAACCGGAGATTTGGACGCACTTTTGGTTCTTTTATTACTATTCCGGCGGTAGCCACCACCTACCGGGACGCTTCTGAGAGCGCCGCCTCTGGTCCAGTACCGGCGGCAGGTCTTACAGAAGTGGCGGGGTTGAGACAGGCTATAGTTGTTGAAGTAACAAAACTTGGTGTTTCTTGATTCACATCTCGGGCACTTCAGCCGTGCCGGATCCGTCATCGACTCAGGCCGCCCTTGTGGCAGCGCCGGCGGCGGCGGCGGCGACACCGTCTGAAAACAAAAATAGTCTTAGATTAATAAAATTTTGTAGGGAAGAAATTAAGAAATGAAATGGTTACCTGTTCTTCAAAATTTGATGGGATGATGGATGGAAATGCCATTGTTCTTCAAAAAAATTGATGGGTTTTTTAGAGAGAGAAAGAGGGTGGGAGGGGAGAGAGAAAATTTCATTACATTTTAGGGTTTTAATGAAAAATTAATTATGTGAACTAAATTAAAAAAATTTAAAATAAACAAAAATAACAATTTTAACTCAAAATTAAAGTGCTTCAAAGCTGAGATGGACCCGACCAAATGAACCTTTATCACACATGGGTCATGTGGATGTTTTTTTTTTTTTTCATATAATAATAATAATAATAATAATAATTGTTCAATAAACTAATTATTGTAAGGAATAATATTTCATGGATCTTTGTTTCATTAAAGAGAATCAAACATTCTATTTTCTTTAATTTATGCAATTTTTTAACTATAAAATATTTAGTTTATGATTAAATAAATTAGGATATGTTCTAATGTAAATTTAATTTACAATTCTATAGAAATTACGGATTTATCCTTTAAAAACTTAATTTACAATTTTAAACTATAGAAATTATTAAATTATCCCTTAAAATGTTACGAAAACTTAATTTAATTATGAAATTATCCCTTGAAATGTTACCATGTAAATTTACAATTCTAGACTATAAAATTACTACATTATCCCTTGAAATGTTACCTGTAAACTTAATTTACAATTCTAGGCTATAAAAATTACAAAATTATCCCTTGAAATGTTACGATGTAAAATTAATTTATAATTTTAGACTATGAAAATTACTAAATTATCCCTGGAAATGTAAACTTAATTTACCATTCAAGACTATTAAGTTTATAGGGCTTATATCACAAAGGATATGAATGTGTTTTTTTTTTTAGTATTATATAATTTAGAAGAAAAATTAATTTTCGCCACATGAAATTCTAAATATATATATTTTTCAATTTTTGCATGGACATATTATGAAAAGCTGTTTGTCGTACGTTCCACCACATGGGCACCGCTATACATGAAATGATAATAATATATATACATACATGATACATAGATGTATGTATGTAATAGTATATTATATTTTGAATTTTTATTTATATATGAAACGTAAATTATTGAATATTTGTTTAATAATGTTTTAGGAAATAGAATCCATTTAATTGTATCAATTTTTATCTTAAAAAATTAGACCCTTAAATATAGACAATTATTATAATTTCTACCGAATAATTAAAAAAAAAAATCATTTTCTCACCAAATTAAATATAATTAAGGTGGTTTGAAATTAAGAATTTAAGGTAAAATTTAATACAATTAGTTGTCTAAAAATGTCTAAAAAAAATCATCTTCTGGCCAAATAGTTTGGTGAGCTTATTACCTAAACCTATTGCTTATTATAAAAATGTTTAAACCAATTTTTTTAATTTTTTTTAATTAGCTTTGGACGAAAATACCCTTACCAATCTATATTTATTTATTTTGATTTTTTTGGATGAATTTTAGTTTATAAAATTTAAAAATTATTTTTTCTTTCAAAATTTAATTTAGATGGAGTGTGTAGAACCTAAGGTTTAAATAGTTATTGCGTCGTTAAATAGGTCTTCTTTAAGGATCAAAGATACTGAAACTCTCATTCACTGTCATAGTTTTGTCCAAACTCTATTGAGTTTACTGTTCTTCATAGCTTCTTGAACTTTTTTCGGGACTTGCTCTCGAAGTTCAAAAGTATACTCTCTCCTATCATACAACTCTATCTTCATATCATGTCTTCCCTCTTTCTTTTGACCAACGTGAAGTGGTTTGACCGGCACCTCAAAACCCTTAATACTTAACTTTGAAATTTGAAGGTTTTGTTCCTTTCTCGGCTTTTAAAAGCTAAAACGTTCACGTTGAAGCTAGAAACGTGCCACTAAAAAAATCTACTTTATTTCAATTCAAAGACCAACATGGATTTTAAAAAATATTGTCCACTTTCAAGAAATAAAGTTATTTTTACATATGGAAACATAAATTACTAATTTGAAGAATTTAGTTTTTTTTATATATATAAAATAAATAAATAAATGGTCACTGTCTTAAACTGAAAAAAGGGAAAATAAAAAGTAAAATTAAATTAAAAAAAATAAAAATAAAATATCTGTACCAATGAGATATTTTGAGTTGGAAAAGATATTATTATTCCATCCAAATCAATCGGTCCATGCATAAATCTGATAGCCTTTTGGACTTGGGCTATAAGTGGGAATCCAACATATTGGGGGGTTTTTACTTGTAATAATTAAATGTAAAAGGAGAATATTATATTTTATTTAAAAAAAAATAAAATATTAAAAAAGAAAAATAAATTTTAAAAATTAATATATTATACGCATTTAATAAAAAATATACTATTTTGGTATATTAGATATTTATGCTTTTTGATCCACTCCCAACAAAAAGGAAGTTTGGAGTTCAACGATCATATCTAATATTAATTAAGATATTTTTGTACTTTTAATTTTCTTTTTATGCCACTAATTATCTTAAATATTTAATTATTACCCCTTTTTTTCAAGTTCACTTCCAATGCATCCAACCTCCATTTGCAATTAACTGGTTTTTAAATATTTTTTTATTTTAAATTATTTATCCTATTAAAAAAACATTTAGCCTTATTTAAGCCTTACAATTTTAAAATATTACCAAACAAACTAATAATCTATTTTAATGGATTTTTTTCACTCTGCAATTATTTAATTAAAAAAAAAAAAAAAAAGTCCTCTACGTGAACTAATACAGATTTTGCATTGGGCCTGTTGACCCATTGGGCTGAAAATAGAATCAAGGCCCAACTTAAATCTAACACCCGGCCCAATATGTCCCACTTGTGATTTATTTATTTAATTTTCCTCCCCTTTTTATCATTTTATTAATAAAAATATCTCACATTCAAATATGAGGGCACCAACCTAGGAATGTTCAAAACCCTTATTTCATTGTCCCATGTTGGCACATGAATGGGTAGGCTAAAAAGCAACATTATTTTAATAAAAAAAATAATAAAATATGGGTTTAAAATAGGAAGAATTTTTTGTGTTCTTGCTTTCGTTTTAGTATTATTCTATCCCAATTATGGGTTTGGTTTTTATTTTATTTTTATTTATTTATCAATATTATTTGTGTAATAACAAACAAAAAAAATGTTATTTTTTTAAATTATAAATAAAAAAAACGATGAATGATTTTTGAGGAGCATGGATAAGACAACCCTCTCTAGGCCCCTACCCACACATCTCTTTTCAAGAGATAAGAAACAAATATTTAAATATTGAAAATTTAATTGGCAAGATATTTTAATTAAATAGTTTTTAATAAATGGAAGAAAATATAAATATATATATTAATTGTTTTATATATAAATAAAGCATGAAATCACCTTTGAGCCCATTTAAAAAAAAATTCAAATTCAATAATTTAAAAAAAAAAAAAGAAAAGAAAAGAAACAAAGCCATAATTTTAATTGTATATTTATTTAAATGAAATGTCAATTTCATGAAATTAAAAAAATATATAATAAAGAGAAAAGATAATACCTTAAAATTGTAATTTCTAAACATCCACACGCTTTAGAAAACGTTAAAAAAAATAATTTAATTAAAAAAAATAGAAATAATTTTAAAATCTAGGGGGAAAAATCAGGTGCGGGCGAGTGGATTATAGAGTGAGATCCAAAAAGTTGAAAACTACAGGAAAATGGAATTACACATAACGCCGTGTGTTGGAATGTGAAAGTTTTGACATTTCATCGCCGTCACCGTCACCGTCAACAAACAGCGAGGCAACAACGTTTTGGTTTTGGGTATCATCCAGTGAAGGCCTTAACCCGCGAAGGCCCCTCTTTATAATAAGATGCTCCTTCACGCCTCTGTTCTCTTCTTCTGTTCACACTCCTTCACTTTCCCATCAATTTTTCCACTCCCTTTTCTTCCCCCCCCCCCCCCCCNCCCCCCCCCCCCCCTGTTGTTCTTGAGGGCGAAGAACAAAATTCATTACTAGTTCTTGTAGTGGTGGTTGTTAGAGAGATGGTTTATGATGATTTGATGAAGACTTGCATCATTTTTGGTTATGGAGGTCACTCGTCTTCTCGATTCCCTGATGTTCTTACCAAAAGGTACTCTCATTGAAGATCCAATTCCATTTTGTGTTCTTCCTCACTCAATGGATGTTCTTCTCTAGCTCTACGAATTACTTTGTTTCTTGATTTGTTCATATGGCTCGGTTTGTTTCGATGTGAGAAAACGGAAAACAGGGCTAATTTCTGGAAATTTTGACGAATTTGGAAGGATTTGATGGGTTTGATTCGATGTTTTCCTCCTATGTGTGGGGGATATCAAGAGACTTTAGGATTAGGGCTAGATATTGTGTTTCTATAGCGTCTGTGAAATCTTTTTCTTATTTAGGGATTTGTGTTTTTTCTGTATAATAATTCACCTCCTTGACTCTGTTCTGTTTTGTTCCTTCTCCCACTTTCTGGGAATTTTCTTTCGATATGGTTTATGTTTTTTGTGTTTTTGTGTTAAATTTCTTGTGAGTTTGTGAGGTTTGTGAGGTTTGTGTTATTTCATTGATAAATCTTAGGGTTTTGATGGAGGGAAGATATTGTGGGGATTGATTGATTGATTGATATAAGCCGCCACAGCTGTTTATAAGATATTGTGTGTTTGTGGGAATGGCTGTATTTAACCCATCAGATTCAATGGAGATGATGAGTTGAAATGGGAGGCTCTCGACTTACAGCTCTTTCAATGGAGAGTCATCACCCTTCCACACTTTTGTCTATGGATTCCAGTGCTTCTTCTCATGATGAATTGGATTTGGAAATGAATCGTCAAATCGTTCTTCCCCGCCCACCCGATATCAATCTTCCACTGTCTGCCGAGCGTAGCCCGCCCCAGCAGCCATGGAGCTCTGATCCATGTGACATTTTAGATGTTGGACTTGGCTCACAGGTTTACGAGACAGAGAGCTTCCTTAGTGTCCCAAAAGTTGGGCGGAAATGCGTGAAGCGTGTTGATTGTATTTGGGGTGCTTGGTTTTTCTTTAGTTTCTACGTTAAGCCGGTGATGAACGATAAGTCGAAGGCGAAGATTATCCGGGATAGTAATGGGGTTTCTGGGTTTGAAAAGTCTGATCTTAATTTGGATGTTTTCATGGTTCAACATGATATGGAGAATATGTATATGTGGGTGTTTAAGGAGAGGCCTGAGAATGCATTGGGGAAAATGCAGCTTCGGAGTTATATGAACGGTCATTCTCGTCAAGGTGAGCGCCCCTTTCCGTTTAGTGTTGATAAAGGTTTCGTTCGATCTCACAAAATGCAGCGGAAACACTATCGGGGTCTCTCGAATCCTCAGTGTGTTCATGGAGTTACGGTTGTTACGTCTCCGAATTTGATGGTTCTTGATGAAGAAGATAGGAAGAGATGGGTGGAGCTTACAGGCAGGGATTTGAATTTCACCATCCCTCCCGAGGCAAGTGACTTTAGTTCATGGAGAAATCTTCCAAACACGGATTTTGAACTCGAGAGGCCTCCGACTCTTAAGAGTGCCTCGAACTCTCATTCCAAAAAACTGCTCAATGGATCTGTACTGAATTTGTCAACTCAGCCATCGAACCATGCGAACTGTGACGGGATGGATTTATCGCCTGTCAGCAGCAAGAGGAAGAAGGATTTCTTCTCGAATGGCAATGACGACGACTGCTACTTGGCTGTGAATAATCACACGACCGATCGCATCTCCGAGATAGAAGTCCACCCGAATGAGCCACATTGGTTGAACGATTTCAGCGGGGTAATGAAGAATGTTTACGGACCAGTAACAGCTGCTAAATCGATATACGAGGACGAAGAAGGTTATTTGATCATCATCAGCTTACCATTTGTTGATCTTCAAAGTGTCAAAGTTTCATGGAGGAACACTGTGACACATGGGATCATAAAAGTATCGTGTGTGAGCACGTCGGGGATGCCATTCATCAAGAGACATGATAGGACATTCAAGCTCACCGATCCATTCCCCGAACACTGTCCCCCGGGTGAATTTGTAAGGGAGATCCCTCTAGCAACTCGAATTCCTGAAGATGCCAATATAGAAGCATACTACGACGGTCCAGGATCTGTGCTTGAGATTATGGTGCCGAGGCTCCGCATTGGCCCTGAGGAACATGAAGTTCGTGTCTGCCTTCGGCCGCACCTGGGAGGAAATGATCTTATGTTAACCTGAGATGTCTCATCTGTATGAGTAACAGTTGTGACTGGATGAGGTGAGGCAGGCACACTTCAATGTTTACTAACTAAGCTTCATTTTAGCGTTCTTTTATAATGTACTTTTGTCTTTGCTTCTTATGTCATTCTTTGCTCACTAAATTTATGTCTCATATTTAGAAATTGATATGAACTTATATTTGTTTTTTTTTTTTTTTTTTTTTGTCATTTATACAAATATCATTGGTTGTTTGATTATAGCCAAATTTTGTCCGTAATTGAAAGCGATTATGTCGATCCCGTGAACCCATTTGCAACTCCGAGTCGTCTCGATGATTTGGTTCCTATATGGATGGTGGTGTTCTTGCAGTTTATATATCTTCTTAGTTCATAATATTCAAATCTGACGACTTATACTTATCTTCATTGATTCTTTTTCCATGAGAACTTGTAATAAAAGCGAATACCAGATCAACTTATCACTTCTATAAAGTGTAAAAAATCAACACTTGAATTGACATTTAAATTAATTGAAAATTCAACTCAATTGACTGAAATTGAATAAATAAAGATAAAATCCACCACAAAAAGATTTGATTCGATCCAATAAAATTTAAAATCCTCGGAATTGATTTTGAATATTGAGTTTGCTTTGACTCCATAAATTAAGTACTTAAAATAAAGTAGAAAGAAGTTTTACAAAAAATAGAAGGATATATAAAATTCGATGGCTTTGAGTGTGAAGGATATAGAAAGAGAGTCAAGGTTGGCGGCTGAGATAAGCATTCCCACAATTCTGATGAGATAAGCATTCCCACAATTCTGATATCTCCAATTGTATACTTCCAAGCTCAAACCTCGTGTAATAACACCACCTCTATACGGAGCTTTGAAAACATATCTCCATATTAAATTACTAATCTAGAAGAACCCAAAACGATCTCTTTAGTAAAAGTCCTCATAATAATTTTACATCTGCAAAAGTAAGCTGAGGGAGTTTTGTGGCTTACAAGTAATTTCCACCGCTCACTAAAATGTCTTCAACGAAACTTTTATAACAGAGAGTGGGAGACCAAAAAAAAACGGTGGCTTACACTCGTTGGGCCATAATTCAAAATTCCACGGTTCCAAAATGACAAAAAAGTGCGATACGACCCGACATTGCAAATACTTCTTGGACAGTCGAACTCGCTTAGTCGACTTCCTCGATCTTGGGACCAGCACCGCTACCTCCGCTAGCGCCGGTCGGGATGCTGTCGTCATCAGCGCCGCCCATATCAGCTCCAGCGCCTTGGTACATCTTGGCGATGATTGGGTTGCAGATGCTCTCCAACTCCTTCATCTTGTCTTCGAACTCATCGGCTTCAGCCAGCTGGTTGGCGTCAAGCCACTGGATGGACTGCTCGATGGCATCTTCGATCTTCTTCTTGTCAGCTGGGGATAGCTTGGCGCCGATCTTCTCGTCGTTCACTGTGTTCCTCATGTTGTATGCGTAGTTCTCCAAGGCGTTTTTGGCTTCTACCTTCTTCTTGTGCTCTTCATCCTCCGACTTGTACTTCTCTGCCTCTTGAACCATTTTCTCGATCTCCTCCTTTGAGAGTCTTCCCTTGTCGTTGGTGATTGTGATCTTGTTCTTTTGGCCGGTGGTCTTGTCTTCCGCAGACACGTTCAAGATACCGTTGGCATCGATATCGAAACACACTGTGATTTGAGGTACACCTCTGGGAGCTGGAGGGATGCCGGAGAGCTCGAATTTTCCAAGCAAATTGTTGTCGCGGGTTCTTGTTCTTTCTCCTTCGTATACTTGGATCAACACACCAGGCTGGTTGTCGGAGTAGGTAGAGAATACCTGCTCCTTCTTCGTGGGAATTGTGGTGTTTCTTGGAATCAAGACAGTCATGACACCACCGGCGGTTTCCAAGCCAAGCGAGAGTGGGGTAACATCCAACAAAAGAAGATCTTGAACTTTCTCATTGCCTTCACCGCTCAAGATGGCAGCTTGAACTGCGGCACCATAGGCAACAGCTTCATCGGGGTTAATGCTCTTGCAAAGCTCCTTGCCATTGAAGAAATCCTGCAGTAACTGTTGGACCTTGGGGATCCTAGTGGATCCACCGACAAGAACAACATCGTGGACGGTGCTCTTGTCCATCTTTGCATCCCGCAAACACTTCTCGACGGGTTCCATACACTTTCTGAAAAGATCCATGTTCAATTCCTCGAATCTGGCACGAGTGATGGTAGAGTAGAAGTCGATTCCTTCATACAAGGAGTCAATCTCAATGGTGGTCTGAGCAGTGGATGAGAGAGTCCTCTTAGCCCTCTCACACGAGGTTCTCAACCTTCTGAGAGCCCTTGGGTTGCCACTAATGTCCTTCTTGTGCTTCCTCTTGAATTCCTGGACAAAGTGGTTGACCAATCTATTGTCGAAATCTTCACCACCAAGGTGAGTATCTCCAGCAGTGGCCTTCACCTCAAAGATACCCTCTTCAATGGTGAGAAGAGAGACATCAAAAGTACCACCTCCAAGATCGAAAATCAAAACGTTCTTTTCCCCAACACTGGTTGCCTTCTTGTCAAGACCATAGGCAATGGCAGCAGCCGTGGGCTCATTGATGATTCTCATGACATTGAGACCAGCAATAACACCAGCATCCTTGGTGGCCTGACGTTGGGAGTCGTTGAAATAAGCAGGAACGGTGACCACGGCATTCTTCACGTTGAAACCAAGGTAAGCTTCAGCAATCTCACGCATCTTAATGAGAACCATGGAAGAGATTTCTTCAGCAGCGAACTGCTTCTCTTCACCCTTGTAGTTAACCTCAATCATGGGCTTGTCACCAGGGCCAGGGATGACCTTGAAAGGCCACAACTTGATGTCGCTCTGGACTGAAGAGTCACTGAATCTTCTTCCGATCAACCTCTTCGCGTCTGCACCCAATTCATTCAGACAATTAATTAGTTAACAACTCAATTCGAAACACATCAAAACAGAGAATCGATGACAAAAACAGAGTACGATAGCCAATTCATAAATGCCATGCGATTGGAGAGACTCATTGACTAAAACTAACAGTCTAATCTTGTAAATATGAAACAAAACACCAATGCAGGAGGACTAGAACCTGTTAGGAACTGTCGTGACAATGCCGAAAGACATTATGAATATATGATTTTCCATCACATTGAACTAAAGTACAGAACTCCTCAATGGACAACAAAGGTTATTAAGAGAACCACCACTTGAGAATAAAGGTTATCCACGATCGGACCAATCGAAGTGCAATAATACGAGATTCAAAGCTATAACAATAAAAGAATGCACCATGGGGAACAATACAGCTACATACTAATAAGTTCTCTGCGTATAAAAAAGAAGTCCAGTCTATATCATCAATGCTATATTACATACATGGCACATTTAAATCATGCTATAACTGAAAACAACGGATCCACAAGAAACAGGATTAATTATCGATACAAAACTCAGATCTAAAAGAACTTCCAAGAATAAAACGAGATCTACAAATCAAAAACATAGACAAAACCAGAACACATTCACCAAGAACAACATTTCTAAATCCGAAGGCAACAAAAAAAGAGAATAACTAATAATGTCGTTAAAAACTGAACGAAACTCGAGGTGAGACGAGATCCGATAACAAAGAAAGCGAAGGAGATAGATCTTACCAAAGACAGTGTTTATCGGGTTCATGGCGACCTGGTTCTTAGCAGCATTACCAATCAAACGCTCGGTGTCGGTGAATCCAACATAGGAAGGAGTAGTCCTGTTACCCTGGTCATTGGCAATGATCTCAACACGGTCATGTTGCCAGACACCAACGCAAGAGTAGGTGGTTCCGAGATCGATTCCGATAGCCGGACCTTCTCCCTTGCCGGCCATTATGGTGTTCAGCTACGGTGGTAGCTAGGAAGAAGAGATGAATGTGGATCAAAGAAAGAAGAAGCGGAGATTTGGGAAGAAAGATGAAATGAACGAGAGGCGTAACTAGGTTATGTGAAGTAGTGTTACAGAGGGCAATGAGATGATTATATACCCAGAAAATTCAAAAAATTCCAGAAGGTTCGGAATCCCTGTGGCTTATCCGAACCGTTGGATTGAAGAGAGAATGGACGGCCAGATTTTATCAGACAAGGTCGGCGTAGACTTAGATTTCCCACTCCCCCTCTCGCGCCGTATATTTTAGAAACCCTTTCCCCGACACGCGGAACAAATATTGAATTTTCTTCTCATTTTTAATTACAATTTTATTGTTTTTTTTTTAATTGTCTAAAATTATCTAGATGGTTCCATAGTGTATTTTTTTTTTATTATTTTGTATATGAAAAAATAATTGTAATAATAATAGCCACAAATTATATATATTTTATTCACAACTATATAATAATGTTTTTTAAAATATGTTCAAATATTTGAAAAAATATATATAAATATTCATAGTCTATTTGATTAGATAGAATTAGACATGTTTGTGAGACAAGATGAAAAGTAACACAACTTGTTATAAGAAACAATGAAAACATTAACACATATGTTTCCAAACATAATTTAAAAACAATGAAAACATGTAACACAAATGTTTGAACTTTAAATTTATGTGATGAGCTCACATATGTTGACTTGGATTTGATGGGTTATGCATGCGTCATGATATTATGTTGCGTTTATGTATGTTATGCGGTGATGTATAATACCATGTTATGTATGTATGTGATGTCTAATATATCTTGATAGGAACAAAATGAAAAACAATGGATGTCATACTACGTCTTGCCATTTGTAATCGTACAATAGATTATATGATGATGCATGATGCATCTGTGAACTCTAACATGAATGAAAGGGAAATGGAATGATTTTGAAGTTAAGCCATGGTTTTTAAATCATTAGGACATCATGCATTTATGTATGTCACGTGCATCGAGATACTTCCCCATTATATTATATTAGTATAGATTCGTATCTTCGATGTTTATGTTCGTCATGATATCATGTAGATCTTTTCTTTTGTGGTGTTTGGTGATGCGTTAGCGTGTTGAGTCTCCTTAGTGATATATTTCATACAAAAACGGGATAGACAGAAATGGCAACAGTCCATAGGGGCATTTGTGACAATTTGTGCTTCTTCCAACTAATTGGGTTTGATAAATGGGCCGCAGAAACTGGGCTACATTCGGTGGCAAAGGCCCATGATAATTGGGCCGACAGAATTAGTTGATAAAATATTAGAGTTAAAATACTTGGTTATGGTATATTTTCATAAAATATTGAGATATTTTATAAAATAAAGGGTGAATTTATTAGAGAAGACTGGGTGCTAAAGAATCCAAAAGGGCACCAATTGTTGTAGGTATAATAAACGCATAATCCATTAAAATAAATAATAACAAATAAATAAATAAATAAAATAATTATATTAGATATGAGTTTTGCGTCTATTAAAATATTAAACCGTTAATTTTGAATTTATAAGTAATTCAGGAAAAAATTAAAAATTGGCCTAGAGTTTACATGCATTAAATAATTATTTATATGGTGAGCTAACAATGGTAATATTCGAATTGTTTTAAGCTGATAGAAGTATGTTCAAACTATGTATAGATATAAAAGTCTTATCAGGTTTGATGCAATCATGTGCTATGTTTATGATCGACATCCATAGATTTCAAGATGAAATAAGGTTGCATACCTAAGATAACAAAATAAATACTTTATCATATTTATAACAAATAATAATATTCTTATTCCAAAAATATTTATAAATTTTAAATTAACCTAGAAAATAATCAATTTTGTTCGTCGATGATATTATATTTTATATAGAACAAGAAGGAATAAATCCTATGATTTGTTTGATGGTCTTAAAATAATTTTAAATTCTAAAATTTTAAAATATGAAAATATGGTTAAAGTTATAAGTGTTTGAAACCAAGATGATTTGAAATAAGTAAATTATGAAAAATGAAAATGACGTATAATATTTTACAATTATAACCTTAGAACAAATGTTCAGCACTTTTAAAAAATTTCAATAATTGATTTTATGAAAAAAAAAAATCTCTAATATTTTTAAAAGTTCAATTATTCGTAGAATAAATTTTATTATAAAGATATAATAAATAATAATATTTTTATAGAAAATTAAAAAAAATAATAATAATAATACCGTTAGAATTTTATTGAATTTATGAAAATAATTATTATTATTATTATTATTTTGTTAAATTAGATAACAGATATTACAACAATTTTCTAAATCTAGGACTCAATTATTATTTATTTTTTTTCTGTCTTTGTGTGACATAAATTCTCAATAATTGGCTTCCAAATCAGAAAACCAACGAAAAGAAGACACGTCAAGTACACGTGTACGAATCATTCTCTTGGGTCTCCGCCATTGCCGCAAAGGCAAGCTCCTGATGGCTAGGGACGCATCAGAGCCGTCAGTTTTCCTGAACGATATTAAATTGACCGGCCACTAGTAGGCCACTTGGCAAATAGTCAATCAAAATATGCCACGTGTTCCTCCTTACCCGTTACCTGGGGTAGAGGGATTATTCGTCTCCATATGTTTAGGTTGTTACCAATATTACTCAAAATTAAATTAATTTTTAGTACAGTGGGCCAGAACCCAGTGCAGGTGGGCCTCCAAATTCAGATCCATTGAATCCATACCACTAATCAAAACTAACATTAGGGGGCATTTTGGGTATTTATTCCCGAAACAACACGAGTTAGCTTAACGAAATCTATATTTGATTAACACGCTTGTTACCATACTTTATTTAAATGCATTAAATTTTTATAAAATATATTAGTGACTCTATTTCTTACCCAGCTCACGGGTGAAAAATTCAACCCTTGGAACGTACTATAGTACTACGTAGCAAAGAGCGGATATTAAGGGATCAAATCTTCCCATATGAGTTATTAGAAAAGATTAGTATGTGATCCATGGAGTAACTTTTATCCACTAAACGATGACGGTAGAAAATTATGACATAAGAGATTCATTAGATTTAAATTATTATTATTAATAAAATTTGATAAACGAGAAGAAATTATAAAATTATAAAATTAAAAATTAAAAATTAAAAATGTAACATCAAACTAATTACATATATTTTTTTTTACATAAATATTTTAATGCATAGGGAACATGAACGGATAGACCAAAATTAATTTTGTTTTAATTGGGTAGTTGAAATTGAATTCCAAGATAAATATGTTATGTAATAAATATATATACATATATTTCTAGATATAAAATATCATGCATGTGGAAATATACAGATACATATACATACATGTATATATATTAAGAATTTCAACCAATTGTGTTTTGACAATTTAGTAAAATTTTATTTTTAAGAATTTTAAAATTTTAGAATTTTAGAAAATAATTATCAGACTCGATTGAAAATGTTTGCTTAATCAATGATTGGTATTTGTTTTCTATTTATAATCAAATAAATTAGAATAATATGAAAATAGTAATAAATAGAAAGATCAATAAATGTAAAGATATATAGTAAGAAGACACCTATCAGATATTATTTGACTTATAATAAAATATCAAATATAATATATATGGTAAACCCATTAAAATAAATCCAATAATAATAATAGAAAGAAATTTAGGAAATAATAAGTGCATGCACTAATGGGGCAATTATTTTGACAAAGATAAATTGACAAAAATAACCTTCCACATAAATATTTAACTAACACAAGTGGTGAATTAGCATTTAATTAATCCAATAAATAATTGGCAATTAATATAATCTAAATGTTTGTAAAATAACCCAGTTGGAATTGGATCAACCCATGTAGATATTTTTCTAAAATAAAGTTTAATGTTTTAATCTTGTAATATTTTATAATATATATATATATTTTAAAACTTTTAATAAAAAAATTGAACTTTATTTGAATTATTCGGGTTACCAATCCAACCGACCCAAAATTTCGAGTTAGTTCAAAAGATTTTTTCAACCCAACGCAATCCAATCCAACTTATGTACATTGTAACCGAGAAGAGATCAAAATCCACATTATTATTATTTTTTTAATTTATACAACAATATTAATAATTCATTTAAATAAAATTTAATTATTTTTAGTAGTTATTAATCATTGGAATGGGATATTGTACCTTTTCTTTAACTGGACATCACATCGAAAGAAGGGTACATTGTAATATTTATAACAACATTAACCATTTAAATATAAATTTTGGTATTTGAACCTTTTACGTCAAAGAAAAGAATATATATTAATTATTGGTTAATTATAGTTATTTTAATATTAATAATTATTGAAAGTAAGAGAGTTGAAAAGGAAATTTGTGAGAGAACCAAACATTATGGTAAGTTTTAATTAAAAAAATAAAGGATTTTAATGATCAAATTTATTGCTACTTAGATGAGGGCACATATTGAGCTAAATAAATATTTCCAAACCCCAATAAATCCAATTATACAATATGTTCTAATGGCCACATGTTTCATTAAAAAATAATAATAATAATAATAATAATAATAATAATGATTGAATTTATTTTACCATAATGTTTTCTAACTTTTATTTTTTAAACGTATGGATTTAATTTTTGAACGGTTGACCATCCTTAAACTAAGTCTTATGGTCTCGTGAACAAAGATTATTGATAACTGACATAAAAGTTCCTAATATAGTAATTAATATATAGGTAGTTTCTACGAATCCTTTTTTTTAATAAAAAAAAGTGTGTTTTTTCCTGAAAAAAATAAAGTAAAAATGATTATCACATGTTTTATGATATTTCAGGATTATTCACATGAAAAAGTTTAATTATTAAAAACATTTATAAATTTTGTATTTTCTCTAAAAAAGAAAAATACTTGTGAATTTTTTAAAATTTAAAGATATTTGTATAAAAAAAATCTAAAAAATACTTTTATGGTTAGTTTTATAGCTTTAAATATTATCAAAAAAATATTGTTGAGTTTTAAAAATTTTCATTAAATCCTTC